CTGTCATCCTTATTCACTGCCCAGCTCTCAGATGCATAGCAAATAATTGCAAAGACCGTGGCCTGAATCAGGGGCACTTTAGTCTCCAGACTGACATCTTTGCACTTCCGCACTCTGGAGAGGTGCCTGATAGCAGACTTTCCTAATCCAATTAGTTTCATGATTGTTGTTATGTTCACACTTTATTAATTGCACTTGGATTTTGTATTTAAGAGAATTCATTTTAAAAGAAGAAATAGAAACAATAGTCAGAAAACCTAGGTTACATCACTAGATTCACTGTTACTATAACTAAATAATGTTTGGCAAGTCACTTAACCTCTTTGGGTCACAGTTTTCTCTAATTTAAGAGGAATGTTAAGAGTTTACTATCACTGAAGAAACCCTAGAGTTAATACTAAAAGTAAATAGGTGTTCAATTTCCACTGTATGTTTATATACCTAGATAGGACCCCCTGGATACTGTATGATGTTATACCAAGGACTTCTTCCCCTCCGTTTATTTTTTTCTAAATTTGTATTTATTTTGTTGAAAAATATACACAACAAAAACATACATCATTACTGCAGTTTCTGCAGAATTCTACAGAATTCTATAGAATTCATGAACATATTGATTAGATTCCTTAAGTTGTAGAACTATTCTCAATTTTTCTTCCCTAAACTATTCCTCCCTAATTAACATCATTCACTGCTACCTAAGTTTCCTATTAATCTTTCAATTTGTCATCAGTTTGATCCCATATAGTTAGTCCTTAAAAAAATAATAAAGCTCAAGACAGATGTAGTTTACTCATTAAGCTGAACTATTGTTTCAGGAGATATTTTTGCTTGAGGCTTTAAATTTGTTTCAGGGCAATATTTCCAGGGCCTTATCTGCCTGTCATGGCTCTAGAAAATGTAGAATCTTTTAAGAAAATTAGAAATTCTTTTCTGCACCTTCCCCTTTCTAATCAAGATTCTTCTTTGTAATCTTTGATCAAAATATTCAATTATGGTAGCTTGGCATCATCTAAATCTTTTAGTCTCATCTTAAGAGAGGTAATTGTTTATGGAGGCAATTAGCCACACATCTCATGTATTCCTCCAATTCCTAACTCTCACCCCACAGCTGCTTCACATGGTTTGAGTCAATTATTATAACTTGGAGAGCCATTTGCAAGCATGTAAGATTCTAGGCACTACACAATGAACTAGAAGACAGAATAGAATCACTACACATATTATTAAGTCCATTAAACAGGATAGCCAATGAACACATGACCCTAAACTTCTAAACGAAAAGATCAATTCTCATTAAATGATTGGTTGTATATAAGCAGCCTGAGAAGTTACATCTTTTTTTTTTTTTGCTGTAAATCTATCTGTCACACTGTTTGCCAACTCAACAGTTTTTTTTAATCTGCAGATTTACTGAGAGCAATTTCAATCATTAGCTGTACAGCCCTACCTTTAATCAATGCAGTTTTTCTAATGCTATTTAACTTATCTTTTTCTCCTTCCCTTTATTCCTTGTAACCACTAATAAACTTTGATTTCTATACATTTGCCTTATCTTGTCGTTTCATATAAATGAAGGTATATTATAGGTCTCACTTTAGAATAACCTTATTTCACTTAGCATGATGTCTTCAACCTTGCTATCAAGATTTCATTTCTTCTACTAATATTCTTTTGTTATCGGTGAACTACTTTGTTTACTCAATCATCTTTGCACCAATGACTTCCATGAATTATACTTAAATATTAAAAATATGTAGAGCTTTTGAGTATCATTCTGGATGTTTCAATAAAAAAAATAAATGCTTGTCATTTGTCTAAATATTAGGCAGTATAGTTTTCTTATAAAACTGAGATTTAGTCCTCCAAGATTTTAAAGTAAGGGTAAAAATAATTGAATAAATATCAGGGGACACCACTAAGAACACTGAAGAACCAGCAATAGTTGTAGTTGATGCTTCAGTTTAAGGAGCTCATCAAGGACTCAGGTGTCTGAGAGCTTCTGGGCCTTCCACCCTTGGCTTAAAGCTTTCTTCTTTCTGCTCATAAAATAGCTGTTAATTTCTAGTTATGAAGTCAGCACTTCAAGCAGTAAGGAAAAGAAGGCTAACAGGAATTGAAACATGCTAAATCTAGAGTTCTTTTTATCTCTTCCCCACTGTTGTTGTTGTTGTTGTTGTTGTTATGTGCCGTCGAGTCATTTGCAACTCATAACGACCCTATGTACAATAGCCCTAAACCCTGCTCTATCCCGAGCCAGTCTCACTGCCTCTGACACACCCATCCCAATTACCCCAGTCACTGAATCAATCCACCTCATAGAGGGTCTTCCCCTCCTGTGCTGTCCCTCCACCCTACCAAGCATGATGTCCCTCTCCAAGGACCTGTCTCTCCTTACAACATGTCCAAAGTATGTCAGACGAAGCCCCAGAATCCTTGGCTCCAAGGAGTAGCCTGGTTTAACCCTCTCTAGGATGAATCTGTTTTCTTGGCAGTCCATGGTACATTCAATACTCTTCTCCAGCACCACAGCTCAAAGGCGTCAATTATCTCCACCACTATCTAATATTTTCTATGAATCAAGGTGACTGTAAATAAGTGTAAACACACCCACATTCCCCCACCCACCCACACACGCACAATGGTAATTTAGCAAAACAAATGAAAAGGGTTTATTGAGATAAACTATGCAAAGGAGTCATGGTTTCACATAGAGATAGATTATGTGAAATAGTTAAAGAGTAAAGGAAAGGATGAGGGAAGGGGAAACTACCCCCAGGCAGTCAAGGGTGGACCCAAACCTTTTTAGCAGGCAGGCAACAGAAATAAGAGGGCCGCGCCTAGGAACCTGTGGGATCAGTTGGGGTTTGGATCCGTGGCAATCCTGAGGAGGGGGCTTCTTCACCTTGATGCATCTATTTTTAATTCCCTTCTTGTTTCCTGAGAAACCTTGCTTTTGGTCTTCTCATATGGAAATTGGGGTTGGGGGTTGGAGAGAAAAAGAGACAGGGACCAACCAGGTAACAGTTCTATCACTTGGTAGGGAACAGGTGGATGCTCGCTGAATCTTTCCTTTTTAATTGAGAGAATGCAGTTTTTCCAGATGTTCAGCAGTAGGGATTTTTACCAGCATCTTTCTGATCAGATTCAGGTTACTTCATCCTTTGATGTAAGGGAGTCTGTACATCAGCATGTTATAAATTGATACAACCTTGAACAAAATTGGGGTTTGTTTCATGAGAAAGAAAGAGAAAGTAGATATGGATAGGCAACTAGCCATGTCTGCCACACTCTCTCAACCTAAGTCTGGAATCTTACTTCAAGAGTCCTGGCATCCAGTGACAGGAAGCCGGGACCGTGGGGAGCTTCTGATTAGTGACAGCCCTCTGAAGTGGCTTTGTAGTCTAGCTGGGTTGTCTTCCCTAAGTGAAATGGAAATGATTTCATGGAGTGTCACTGCTTCAGCCCCTTTACCCAGCTGAGTGTTCAGTGGCTCCTTGTCTCTGTAGATCACTCCTAGAGCAAGTTGATCATGTGCTGTAAGGATCTAGCATCATCACCGACAGATGTCCATGGCTAATCCTTGAGCTGTGGCAGGATATTCTTTGAACAAGTCCAGAGATAACAGGGAGCTGTCATATATGATCTTCTATCCTGGAAAATTGAGCTTAACAGAGCATTTAGAAAGTCTTCTCCATTGAGAATAAAATTTCTGTCAGTAAAAGGATCATTAAACACCCAGAAAGGGAGGGAGGTGGGAGAAATCTTTCTTTGTTAGAGTGCATTTTTGTCTTTACTTTATTTCTCACCTTGTATACTTAATTTTGGGTTGAAATTATATTTCAGATTTGCACATCATACCAACCAGATTTACCTGAACACCAGCCCCTTACTAGCTGGTTCCCCTGTGCCAGTGAGGGAAATAACGTTCAGAATAAAGGGCGTGAGCAGCCAGAAGGAGGCCTGGAGAAAGAAGAGGAGGTTTGGCTCAAAGTAAGTGTCCCAAACAGCTTCTCATGAAGGCTGTGGATGTATTGGGGGGCGGGGGGAGGATTGGGGTAGGGAGGAGCGGGGAATACATTTGAATGGATAACCAGGAAATTTATTTCTGTTATCTCAGAGTTCTGAATTTATTTTAATTTCTTTTGAAATTTTTTTATTTCTTTAAGTAATAATTTTATCAGTTTATAATATACACATAGAAAAGTGTACATATTGGAAATGTACAGTTCAGTGGGCTTCTATAGACAATACCCTTTCCAATCACTACCCAGATCAAGAAACACAGCATTAAAATCCCCCCCCCACACACACACATTCTCTTTCCCTTAATCTTTACCCATCAAAGGTATCCATAACTTTTATTTCTGTCATCCTTGGTTAATTCTAGCCCTTTATGGAATTTTCAATAAAAATATAAAATTTCTAGTACCAATTCTTTGCATCTGATTCTTTTTGGATTTTTGTTCAGCATTGTATTTGTGGATTTCGTGTTGTTTCACTTAACACCAGTTAAGTGTGCTCATTTCCATCGCTGTGGTTTATTTCAATGTATACATGTATCACCACAATTTATTGATTCATTCTAATGCTGAGAAATAATCAGGCTATTTTCAGTTTTTTCACTATTATGGATAGTTCTGTTATGAGTGTTTCTGTACATTCCTTTTGCTGAATATATTTAAAATGCTAAGTTTATTTGTGTGTAGATATATGTATATCTGTTTTGCATTTACATAGATATTAATGAGACCTGGAAACTTTTATACATATATTTATACATATATTATTCATTTGAAAATCCTTTTGTTTGTGAAGTGCATTCTTAAGTCTTTCACTTTTCTTTTGATTATCATTTGATATTGTCATTTCTTCCTCTCTTGTATAATTTCTTTATAAATGATAAATATTAATCTTTTTTTAGAGATATATTAAATAATATCTTCCAATACTCTTGGAGAATTAACAGATATGATATGTCTAGCAGAGGATGACAACAAGTTGCTCCTAGAGACAAGGAATTTGAGGCTCAGTCTCATATCCTTTGGACATGTTGCCAGGAAGGACAAGTCCTTGGAGAAGGACATCATGTTTGGAAGGTTGGAGAGACAGTGCAGCAGAGGAAGAGATTGGATGAGTTCGATTGACACAATAACTGGAATCATGAAAGCAGGAGTATCAGAGACAATGAAATTGGGTCAAGATAGAACCAGGTTAAGAACTATTGTGCATAGGGTTGCTATGAATCATAGTTGACTCGATGGCACATAACAACAACAGCAACAACAAACACTATGACTCATCTTTTCTTAGTCTTACTAGTATCTCTAGATGAAGAAAAGTTCTACTTTTTAATGAAGTTCAGTTTATCTTTTCTTTTGTGATTGATTTTCTCTTGCCTACTACAAATACTTACTTTTCTATATTACTTTATAGAAATACTACCATCTTTGTAGATCTAGGAATAAAATACCTCTGGAAATCTTGCATATTTTGTGATGTAGAAATAAAAATTTCCCCACCCCAACTAAATATTTCTTTTCCCCACTACACTGCCCTGTGCCATTTTTGTTAAAAGTCCATTATATGGTTGTATATGTCGTTGTTAGGTGCCATTGAGTCAAGTACGACTCATAGCTACCCTATGAAAAAAAAGATCTGGACGTAGTTCTGTCCTGAGCCGTCCTACTTTCTGACACAAAAGAGCCCATTGCAGCAGTCACTGTATCAGTCCAACTGGTTGAGGGTCCTCTTCTCCTTTGCTGATCCTCCACCCTTCCCAACATCATGTCCCTCTCCAAGGAATAGCACCTCCTAGCAACGTGTCCAAAGTATGTGAGGCAAAACCTCATTATTCTGGCCTCCAAAGGGCATTCCGACTGTACCCTCTCCAAGACATATCCATTTGTTCTCTTGACTTTCTATGGGATGCTCAATGCTCTTCTCCAACACTGTAACTCAAAGATGTCAATTATTTTTCCTGCACCCTGCTCTTTCTGTGCCAATCTCACTGTCTCCAACCCACCAACCCCTATTATCCCATTCACTCTCTCAAGCGTGACATCCTTCTCCAAGGACTGGTCCCTCCTTGCTACATGTCCAAAGCATGTCAGATGAAGCTTCAGAATCCTTGCCTCCAAGGAGCAAAAAATGGTTTAACCCTCTCCAGAATGAACCTGTTCGTTTTCTTAGCAGTCCATGGTGTATTCAATACTCCTCTCCAACACCACAGCTTAAAGGCATCAATTCTCCTTCTATCATACATAGTCATTGTCCAGCTCTCTGATGCACAGCAAGTGATTGCAAAGACCATGGCCTGTATCAGGTGCACCTTAGTCTCCAGAGAGACACCATTGCTCTTCAGTACTTTGGAGAGGCCTCTAACAGCAGACTTTCACATCACAATATATCTTTAATTTCCTGGCTGCTGGTACCAAGAGTCAACACTCTTGATTGCTGATAGTGGAGCCAAGCAAACTAAAGCTGTGAACAATCTCAATCTCTTCACCATCCATATGGATGCTGCCAATTGGCCCAGTGGTACAAATCTTTGTCTCCTTGATATTAAACCTCAATCCATATTGAAGGCTGCAGTCCTTGACTGTCTGCAGCAAGCACTTCAGGTCCTCCTCAGTTGCAACAGGCAGAGTTGTGTCATCTGCATAACACAGATTGTTGATGAATCTTTCTTCAAACCTGTTGCCACACTTCTCATACAGCCCATCCTCCCAGATAATCTGTTCTGGATATAGATTGAAAAGGTATCGAAATAGAATACAACTTTGGTGTACACCCTTCCCAATTTTGAACCACACAGTGTTTCTTCCTCTGTTCTGACGTCTGCCTCCTGGTGCAAGTATAGGTTTCACATTAGCATGATCAAGTGTTCTGGGATTCCCATTCTTCTCAGAGTTAGCCACAGTTTGTTGTGATCCACACAGTCAAACACCTTTGCATAATCACTGAAACACAGATAGACATTACTCTGGTGTCCCCTGCTTTCAGCCAAGATCCATCTAACATTAGCTACAATATCCCTAGTACTACAGCCTCTTCTACACCCACGTTACACTTCTGGCAGTCTCTGTTGATGTGCTCTTCCAGTTGTATTTGGATAATATTCAGCAGAATCTTGTTGCATGTGATATTAATGATATTGTTCAATTATTTCCACACTCTGTTGGATTGCCTTTCTTTGGAATGGGGACAAATATAGATGATAGAGATAGAGAGATATAGAGAGATAGAGATAGAGAGATATACACACACTATACACTATTGCAATGTTCTAGAACAATTGTTGTACAATGTTGTGGGAGAGAGGATATTTTCCTTATTTGTGCAAGAAAGACTTGTTAATACAACTATTATTCAAATATCCATTCCTACTTTTAGAGCCAAAGAAAAGATATTGAAAGTTTTTACCAAATCTTGTAGTCTGACATTAATCAAACATATGATCAAGATGTGTTAATGATAGTTGGTGACCGGAATGCAAAAGTTGGAAGCAGTGAAGAGCGATGTTGTTGTTGTTAGGTGCCATCCAATTGAATAGACTCATAGTGACTCTATGAACAAAAGAAAACCCTGTTCTCTCCTGTGTCATCTTCGTACTTCCTAACACACAAAAACCAATTGCAGCAGGTGCCATATCAATCCACCTGGTCAAAAGTCTGCTCTCCTTCACTGACCCTCCACCCTTCCTAGCATCTTGTCCTTCTCCAAAAAATAGCCCCTCCTAGCAACATGTTCAAAATATGTGAGGCAGAGCCTCATCATTCTTGCCTTTAAAGAGCACTCCGGCTGCACCCACTCCAAGACATATCTGTTTGTTCTTTTGGCCATCCATAAGATGTTCAGTGATCTTCTCCAATGCCACAGCTCAAAGGCATCAATTCTTCTTCTGCCATCCTTATTTATTATTCAGCTCTCAGATGCATAGCAAATTATCAGAAAGACTGTGTCCTGAATCAGACTCACCTTAGTCCTCAAACTGACACTCCTCCTCAGTAATTTGTAGAGATTCCTAACTGTGAAACACAGGCTTGGTAATATAAATGAAACTGGATATAGAATTATTGAATTTTGTATTTTTAATAGTTGATTCATTGCAAATGACCTTTTTTTAAAGACACAAATGGTGATTTTTGCACATGGACCTCACCTGATGGGCTGCATAAGAATGAGATTGATTACATCTGTGGAAGGAATCGTTGGAGAAGCTCAATATCAGCGGTCAAAAAATAAGCAGGTGCTGACTAAGAGTCAGACCATCAAATACTTATGTGCCAGTTCAAATTGAGGCTGAAGATAATGAAAATGATCATGAGAATCCAGATTTGACCTTTAATCTATTCCATCTGAATTTCAGCATCATCTTAAGGATACGTTTGAAGAGTTTTAACACCAATGATTGAAGACCAGAGGAGTTATGGGAACAGGTAAAGGATATCATCCATGAAGAAAGCATTAGATCCTTACAAAGATAGAGTAGAAAGAGAAAACTAAAGAAGATGTTAGAAGAGGCTCTGACATGGAAACAGCCCAAATGTCCAACCACAAATGAATGGATTGAGATGGTACATTCATGCGATGGAATACTATACAACACACAGGAGTAATGAGTTTATAAATTATTACCTAACTTGGGGGGGATTCGAGAGCATTATGCTGAGTGAACTAATTCAGTCTCATGAGGAGTGGGAAAGGTTGGAATCAGAGGGATGAGGATGTGCAGGCAAAGGGGAGATTAATCTTTGGGTTGTACAAGTTGGGGGGGGGTAAAGGAAATTGAAAGAATTTGTTCTTGAAAACAATGTATTCAAATATTGTAAATAAAGTAGTAGAAAAAAAAGATGCTATAAAAATTGCACTAGAATGTCAAGAAGCCAAAACAAAGGGTAAATATGCCAAAGTAGAAGAGTTGAACAGAAGGCTTCAACAGGAAGTTCAAGAAGACAAAGCAAAGCATTACAATGGGGAAAAAAGCATTT